GGTCGCGCCGCGCGCCTGCTGCTCGTGCTGGGGCGGGCTGCTCTGATGCTGCGATTGTCCAGTCCCACCCACTTATCAATGTGTCTCGTAGCAGTCTGTGGCCCTGCTGGTCCTCCTGTCCCTGTCATTCTCTGGCACTACCGTCGCCGTCATCCCCTGACTCTCTGTCCCCGTCATCCTCTGCTGCTGCTGTCCCCGTCATCCTCTGCTGCTGTGTCCCCGTCATCCCCTGACCCTTCTATCCCCGTCATCCTCTGCTGCTACTGTCGCCGTCATCCCTTGATTTTCTGTCCTCGTCATTCCCCGTCTCTGCTGTCGCCCTTTTCCCCAGCCAGTGCTGTCCTCCCCATTGAATGATCGTGCCCGGGGACTGTGCATTTGTAAAGCAAGTAATAACGTTTTCAATAGGCGCCGACCACAAAGAAACGTGCGTATGGTTCTGGGCCTTGGCTTTGGGCTTTACCCGCCAGACTGTGACCAAGCGACGTGCAGTCCACCGACACATCGACGCTGGGGGAGATGGTCAGCACCGCTGGGGCTGGCCAGGGCAGGACCGTGCTGTTGATGCATGCAGCCCACCGTCACATCGACGCTGGGAGAGATGGTCAGCACCGCAGGGACCGGCCGGGCAGGACCCTGCTGTTGATGCGACGCTTTCTGTTTCAGGTGATAGCAATGGCAGCTTCGGGGTGGTTTACCAGGCAAAACTGTGTGATACGGGCGAGCTGGTGGCGATCAAAAAAGTGTTGCAAGACAAGCGATTTAAGGTGAGGGAATAGGCCGCCGCTCGTGGTGGAGGGCTCACGAACGGTGGCTAAAGATGGACAGCAGACCAGTCAGGGCTCCAGTGTCGCTTATGAAGGGTTGAAGGCGGCTGTGTGTATCCACGACTGTCGTCACGTGAGGCGGGGTCTCGGTGTTGGTAGTAGTAGCGTCACGTGCGTCACGTTTGCTGAATGCGTCCCTCTCGTGCCGTCTGCGGGTACGAAGCCATTTGTTGTTGGCACACATATTCCTGAGGTGTTCTTCTCACATTTGGGAACGTTTAAGTGACAGCCTGTAAGTTTTTTTTTCGTTTGCTGGCGCCTTGCGCGTGCCTGAGCCTGGGTTTCGTCTGGGTGAAAGTGGCGCAATATTTGTTCAGCCGAAGTCTCAGAGGCGTACGTGAGTCTCAGATGAGATCCAGTGAGCGGCGTCACGCATCCTGCAGGGAACTGTTGCCCTTGCGTGTGCCAGCGGCAGGCCGGCGGAGTAAAGCGGCGTCGTTAGTCCTGCAAAACCCGCCATCACCATCAAGGCCAGATGCCGCCCGCGGAGCAACAGCTCATTTGCTGGCACTTGTGGTTTGCTTTTGGCGCGTTACGGACCCAGAATTGAGGAGATGGCACTGGGCACGTTATTAAGCGAAGTGCCGCTACTCACAGCATTTTTCATTCATTAAAATCATATCGATGTTTTTATCAGCTGGCAAACCATATCTACCATAGAAAATGACGCCTCAAAACGATTCCATATGACGTACTGTATTCCAGTGAGTACATGATGCGGAACTACTTGTTTGTAAATAGCCGCGGCCGGCGGTATTTTGGGTTAGACTGCTGCCCGTGGTCTTGCTCCGTGTAGTGAAGCGCTGATTTAATTACAAATTAGCAAGGAACTACGCCAGGATTTGCGTAGCCGCTTCGATTTGCCGGGCCGTCAGTGTGTGTAGGATAGCAGTCCTTGCTGCTATTTGCCGCTGGCCGTCGCCCAGTGCACTGTGTTTATGCGCGGCAGGGAGTGAAGTTATCCGGCGTTGCTTCATTAAGAGACGCCGATTATTTGCCATGGTTTAAGCCTGACAGTCGGCCGCTCTGGCGACAAGTGGTGAAACATTCAGGTATCGGTGTTTATCGCTACCTATCGGTGCTTGCACTTACGGGCTGTACCACTGCCGCTTCGTGCGTTCCGCTAGTGTTTGCGATCCTTCAGGACTAGTTGGCACCAACGCTGAATACTGAGCGCCTTTGCTGCAGTTTGGGTCCAAATGCGCCGAAGGCACATTAGTGCAGGTTCAAGCAAACAGGGGAAATGTCAACGCTTCGAACGCTGGCATCGAGCCGCGCTCTCGCATCATTATAACATGCCAGTTCTAAACTGGGTTCGGATCGAAGTTGGCGCTGTCTCCAATCGGCCTATGCATCGATTCGCCGGCCTGCAAGGAGTGCTGTGGGGCGTGGCCTTCTCTAATGAATCCAATCTGTCCGTTGACGCGCTTTTTGCCCTGTTTTCAGAACCGGGAGCTGCAGATAATGAGGAAGCTGGAACATTGCAACATCGTGAAACTAAAATACTTCTTCTACTCGAGTGGGGACCAGGTCAGAATGCCTGAGGCTCTTTTGCTGTCGTCGTCGAAGACGCTCTCTTTTCTGTGTCCATCAAAATGTTGATATTTTGTCGGGGCGAGTGTCTTTATGTTGGCCACTTGGGTGGCAAGGTTGTCAATATTTGGTTCATGCCATTACACCCTCGGCTTGGGGCTCACTGCCTGTTGCCCCTTCCTCAAAATAGACCAATCAGCGTCGAACCGAGCTGCTGTCCACCCAGCACCAAAGCGTCCTAAGCTTGACAAATGGGCCGGACAGGTCAGATGTTTGGGTTCGAAGTCAAAGGGCAACGGATTAGCGCCATCGACTTGCGCGTGTAGGGCGGCAGAGAGCCAACATTCTGGTAGCATGCAGTTATGTTTACCTCCTGCACAGCTTGCTGGATGAGCTTTGGAACACTGTGGGGGGGGGGGGGGGCGGCTGCGGGTTCCGCTTAAAGGTTGCATTGTCCGCAAGTGGCTGTCCAGTGATCGAAAAGGATTCCAGGCATTGCTGCCTGCGACTGGTGCGTGTGCTCGTGTCTGGACTGTCCAAACGGCGTGATGTGAGCTAACCGGTGTGTAGACCATCCGGCGTCCGAATACGGAGGTGCCGCTCATGTCCGTGTCTGTGCTGGCTGAATATGATTTTCGTTCCGCGTCCGTCGCTTCATCCATTCTCCACGCGCGTGCCGGACCGGGAGACCCCATCAACGCGCCGTCAACCCGAGCTCTCCACCACCACCGGGCGACAGGACCGGCCTCCCCGGGCCCGTGGACCAGGCGGGCGGCTGGCCGCCGGCTGGGGCGGCCGGTGCCGTCCCCGCCGGCGGCCCGTGGACCGGGCGGGCGGCTGGCCGCCGGCTGGGGCGGCCGGTGCCGTCCCCGCCGGCGGCCCGTGGACCCAGGCGGGCGGCTGGCCGCCGGCTGGGGCGGCCGGTGCCGTCCCCGCCGGCGGCCCGTGGACCAGGCGGGGCGGCTGGCCGCCGGCTGGGGCGGCCGGTGCCGTCGCCGCCGGCGGCCCCGACGACGGCCGTCACGGTGCGGCCCCGGCGGCCGTCGCCGCCGCTGGGCCGGAATCGATGCCGCCCAATCGGCGCCGGCCGGCGCGGCGGTCGTGCCGTGCCGGCCCGCCGTCACGGCACGTGCCGGTGACGGCGGCGTGACGCGGGGAACCCCGCCCTGCGGCCGCCGGCGGTGTGTGACGGGACGCTGCCACGCCGGGCTGTCGGCACTGGGCGGCGCTCGCACGGGTCGCTGCCGCGTCCGGTGCGGCGGCGGGGAGCCCCGGGGGACGGCGTCGTCCGCCCCGGCGCCGCTCCCGTGACCGCCGCCACGCCCCGGACCACGTCAGGCGCCGCACCGGCCGGCGCCGGCGCCGGCCCGCAGCCCCGCACCTCGCCGCGGCTCGGTCTGACGTGGCTGGGCCGCAGCGCCGCACCTCGCCGCGGCTCGGACTGACGTCGCCGGGCCGCAGCGCCGCGTCACCGGGATCGGATCGAACGTGAAGTGGCGGCCACTCGCAGAGCCGTTCCTTCCGAGCTCGCTCGATCGCTCGGGACATTTCGGCTGCCATCCAATCTCGAATACCCGTCTCCTGGCCGGGAAGTATGCCGGCCGGCAGCACCGACCGACGGCTGTCCGGGGGCGGTCGCGTCTGGGCGACGGCGGTAACGGCGGCGCTCCTCGTCCGATCTGGAGCGCCGCAGCAGGTGTGCGCCCCGCCGTCCCACCTCTGACCGGCGGCGCGTCCGTCGACAGGGCATCGCCACACCCGGCGGCCGCCGTCCCCGACGCTCAACGGTGGCTGCCGAGCCGCGGCGTGGGCGAAAGCCTGCTGAATCACGGAGTTGGGGTGTCCTCGTGTCGCGTTGGTCTGCACCCACGGCCACCGAACGAGCACCCAGTGGTGCCTGGGACGGTGAACGGCAGGAGCCGTTCCAGCGGCGCTGGCGTGTAGGAATCACGGGTGAAATGGCATTGGCAGCGGTCTTGCGTGGTGAACGGTTTTGTTCTAATCTCTGTTCGGTGTACGTGACGTCATTCGCAGTTTGCTGTGGATCATTTCGCTGACGTGGGTTTTGCGATGGTGCGGTTTGCGGCGCCTGGAGCCGGTAAGCATGCGTCATCACCATCTCACGAGAAGCTCGGACTCCTGTGTAGAGCCGTGGGTCAGCTGGTTTCTCGTCACCCACGGCCGGTCACGTGATGCACGTGACAGATGTGGCTTACGAGACTGTCGCCAGGATAGGATCTGGTGGCGCCCACGCGCCTGCCGCGCCGCGGCCGCCACACGGCGCGCCGTCTCTGCCAGGATAGAGCCTAGTGACACCCACGCGCCTGCCGCGCCGCGGCCGCCACACAGCGCGCCGTCTCTGCCAGGATAGAGCCTAGTGACACCCACGCGCCGGCCGCGCCACGGCCGCCACACAGCGCGCCGTCTCTGCCAGCTGATCTGATAGGCCGTCTGCAGCGCGGTCCCTCGCGCCGCGGCCGCCCGGCCGTCCTGCCGCCTCCGCTGTCGGCGTGCCCTTGACCTCCGGGCGTGTCTGCGGCCGTCCCGGCCCGGTCCGGTCCGGTCCGGCGCCGTCGGTCGCCTGCATCCGCTCTCCCGATGGTACCTGTTGTGTGATCGATCGCTCTGCGCTGCGTGAACTGCTGGTGTCTGACGCTGGGCTGGGAACTGCTCCTGTCCGGTCCTGGTCTGACTGGAGCTGCTGCGTCGTCCGTCCCGTTTAGTTGGCGAGTGGCGTTGTCTGCTGTGCTCTGGTGGCAACCGAGGCTTTCGTCTGCTCTGACCGTGTGCAGTGTGCCCTCCGCTCTGTTCTGTCCTGGCATGAACCGTCGTTTGTTCCGTGCGGATGGGAGCTGCCGTTTCTCATCCTGGAGGGCGGGGATGTTGCTCTGTTAAGAACTTCTGCGGTCTGTTCCGTTCGAGGATGCGAAGTGCTCTTGTTTTTTGTCTTCCTTTTTGCTCCGGGTTGTCACAGCTGCCGTCAGTTCTGGCTGGTGTGAATTGTATTGATAGCAGACCCTCTTTCAGACTGCATCTGTATCAACATCATACCATACACTCTTGATTGTCGGGAAGAGTCAGTCACCGCCGCGGCTTGGTATTTCATTTGAGTTTGAGACTACGGTCAAGAGTGTACGGTGTAACATCGGTGTAAACTGCCGTTGTTCGGTCCAGTCCGCCAGACCAAGCAGCAGTGACCAGCAGCACCGGCTGGCAGCCGTTGTGGTGTTCCGTGCCGGGCCGTGAGACGCCGCTGACGGCATGGACGCTGTGCGCCGCAGGCCGACGAGGTGTACCTCAACCTGGTGCTCGAGTACCTGCCCGAGACGGTGTACAAGGTATCGCGCCACTACAACCGCTCCCGCCAGACCATCCCCATCAGCTTCATCAAGGTGAGCGGCCGCCCCCAGTGCCGGGGAGGGGAGGAGGCGAGGGCCCGGGAGCGCGCCGCCGAGGTGGCCGTCTCCGGACGCCGCTGGGTGTTCCGCGCCTGTTCGGTGTGTGTGTGAGTGTGCCACGGCGGGGGTCGTCCGGGCGGGGGGATGGCTGGGCAGGCTCGCCAGTGCGCTGGCAGCGCGGCAGGACAGACGCCGCTGTACCCCCGGACGGGGGGATAGCTGGGCGGGCTCGCCAGTGCGCTGGCAGCGCGGCAGGACAGACGCCGCTGTACCCCCGGACGGGGGGATAGCTGGGCGGGCTCGCCAGTGCGCTGGCAGCGCGGCAGGACAGACGCCGCTGTACCCCCGGACGGGGGGATAGCTGGGCGGGCTCGCCAGTGCGCTGGCAGCGCGGCAGGACAGACGCCGCTGTACCCCCGGACGGGGGGATAGCTGGGCAGGCTCGCCAGTGCGCTGACAGCGCGGCAGGACAGACGCCGCTGTACTCCCGGACGGGGGGATAGCTGGGCAGGCTCGCCAGCGTGCTGACAGAGCGGCAGGACAGGCGCCGCTGCACACGTGGACAAGAGGGAGTTATGGGACGGCTGTTTGCTTATGGCCGACGGAGGAGGAGGCGCCCGTCCGCCCGCCCGCCCGCCCGCTGGCGGGGCTGTGGATGGCGCTCGCGTGAGGCCCGCGGTAAATATTTGAGGCGGCTGTAAACCCTGTCACGACGGTGAGGGAAGAGCCCGGTTCGGGCGACCATCGGGGCCGCGCCCTCGGCCGGTCGCCAGTTTAGACAGGCTGTTAGCGGGCTTCCCGCCCCTCCCTTCCCTCCCCCTCCATCACCGGGCGTCCGCCCGCGTTCTGTCCCGTCCTTCCGTCGTCGGCTGGGCTGGCGCCCGGACGGTCGCGCCGCCGGATGGTCCGTGGCGGTACTGTTAGGCGATGAATCATACAGGAAGGTTCCGCCGGCCGGTGCCCGGTCATGTGCGAATAAGGCCGATGTGTGCATTGTACGACTGTTTTTAGCGAGCGTGGTGACTCATCGATGTCGATTGCTGCGGAAGCTCCCAGGGAACATGTCAGTAAGTTCTCATGGAAGGCTAGCAACACAACTGAGACGCTCTATGCGAAGTAAAATATCGCCTTGGGTGCGTTGCTCGTTTCCTTCCCCCCCCCCCCCCCCCCCCTCGTCGCCAAGCGCGTGTTCGGCTGGTGACCATCCCGCGCGTGCCCGCCTGCAGCTGTACATGTACCAGCTGTTCCGGTCGCTGGCGTACATCCACTCGCTGGGCATCTGCCACCGGGACATCAAGCCGCAGAACCTGCTGCTGGACCCGGAGTCGGGCGTGCTGAAGCTGATCGACTTCGGCAGCGCCAAGGTGCTGGTGGCCGGCGAGCCGAACGTGTCGTACATCTGCTCGCGCTACTACCGCGCGCCCGAGCTAATCTTCGGCGCTACCAACTACACGACCAACATCGGTGGGTGAGCGGTGGTGGCGGGCCGAGGCCGCGCCTGGCTGACATAAGTCGGCGAGAAGCCCGGAGAGCGCGCGCGTTGCTGCCGGACGAGCGCCGTTGGCGCCGGTATGGCCTGGCCTCGGCGGGCGTGGGTGCCGAGTCTTGGTGTAGTGCTGCTGACGGCTCTGCAGTAGGGTGGTGGTGACTGCTTGGGTACCGTGGGCGGTACTTACCGTGCGGCTCTGTAAACGTCGCGTGATGCCGACTGGACCTGTGCTGTGCTGTGCCGCCGTGCTGTCCCGACGGGGCCCCTGAGCTGTGCTGGTGACCTGAGCTGTGCTGTGCTGTGCCGCCGTCTTGTCCCAACGTGTGCCGTGACCTGTGCCGCTGGCCTGACCTGCGCTGGTGACCTGAGCTGAGCTGAGCTGACCGAGCTGCGGTGCCGCCGGCAGACGTCTGGAGTGCCGGCTGCGTGCTGGCCGAGCTGCTGCTGGGCCAGCCCATCTTCCCGGGGGACAGCGGTGTCGACCAGCTGGTCGAGATCATCAAGGTGCTGGGCACGCCCACGCGCGAGCAGCTGGGCGAGATGAACCCCAACTACACCGAGTTCAAGTTCCCGCAGATCTGCGCCCACCCCTGGCAGAAGGTGAGAGCGGCGGCCGGAGACGAGAGCTTCCGCGGCTCGGGCGCAGCTCGTCGGGCATGTGCGCGAGCGGTGGTGGGCTCTAGTCTCCGCGACGGTGGTATTTTATTCTCTCTGGCGGCCATCGGTGTGGAAAACCACGTCACTGGGGTTGGCGGGAGCACGCGCCGTGACGTTACGGGGCGGGGTGAACTGGGCGTCGCCGGGCTCACTCCGGTGTCAGGCGGTGTCGGACACTCGACGCTGCCAGCTGCCGGCGCCGGCGACGGACCGCACGGGGCGCCGGCGCGCCCGACGCCGCGTCGAGGCGCGCCGGACCGGCCGCGGTGTTGTTTCGCCCGCGGAGCTCGCCGCCGCCGGCGACGGCAGCCGGTGGCGCCATCCGCACGGTGTCGATAAGTCGATGTGGTGCGGGCCCCGATTGCGTGTCGGATCGCCACGCCGCGAGCTCGGCGGTTGGCACAGCCGGGCCGGTCGACGGGCTACGCTCGCATGCTGGAGCTATTACCGCGCCGCCGTCATTACGACCGGCGCGCTTTGCGGTGCCGAGTGGAAACGACAATTGCGGTGCTAAAGTCGGTAGTGCACGACTCGCCGCGTACGCAGGGCGACGTGCCGTTTGTGTTCTGGGACATTTCTCCCGTTTTTCACCACTACCGCGCGCATACGATTTTTGTGCCGCCTCTGAAATGCCTACTTCTGACGCCGCTCGTGTGTCTTCCTCGTTCTCTGTCCGACGTCCCCCCCCCCCCCCCTCCGGCCCCGAGAGTTGGCCCACCTGACGGGGCCGGGCCCGGCGGCGCCGCTGCAGGTGTTCCGGGCGCGCACGCCGCCCGAGGCCATCGAGCTGGTGTCACGGCTGCTGCAGTACACGCCCACCAGCCGCGCCTCGCCGCTGCAGGCGTGCGCGCACCCCTTCTTCGGCGAGCTGCGCGAGCCGCAGGCGCGCCTGCCCAGCGGCCGCCAGCTGCCGCCGCTCTTCAACTTCACCGAGCAGGGTCAGTTCCGGAATGGCGCGCAACGAGGGCGCTGAGTGCTCGGGCGGCCTGCCCACCTGCCGGGGTGGGCGTGAGAGAGCGCGGAGACCGCGGCGCTGCGTGTCGGGGGCACCCTTGTGCCCGGTTGCCCTGATCGGGGAGTGACGTAGGGTTCCGGATGGACACGTGATCCGGTATCATTGGTGTAAGTGATCGTACGAAAGGATCGTTGTAATGTGTGCGCTCCGGTTTAGAGTTGTGTGTCGTGAATGCTCGAATTGGGTCGCAGAACATGAAGAGGCAGCGCGGGATAATAGATTTAACGATGCCCGATTAAGGCCTGGTCGTCATGGCGCTCGTGTGCCCCGTTAATTCCCGTTCACGTCGCTGGCCGGCTAGCGAAGACGAGCATAAATCGAACCACAAACGGTCTCCCCGTTTCTGATCGGATCAGCTTTCGTCGCCGATGTGATCCGGCGGTGCAGTAGTGTCCAGGCCTAGACCGGTCTACGTAAAACGGTTCTGAAATGTGCCAGAACTATTCGATGTAAAAGACCTCACAGAAAACGACCGGCGCTCACCGTCGGGTACGGCCACGTTATCATCTGGCCGCCGGGCCGCGCCTCTCACGCCGTCCTGGCCGTCCGCAGAGCTGAAGGTGTGCCCGTCGCTGACTAGCACGCTGCTGCCGGCGCATGCGCGGAGTGGCTCGGAGGCAGAGGGCGCCGCCGCCGCCACCACGGACGCGGCCGGTGCCGGCGGCGGCGCCGACCCGGCCTCGCCCAGCGCCGCCAACGCCTGAGGAGCTGGAGAGGCCTGAGGAGCCGGCGTTGCCCTGTGACCGCCGCCGGCCGACCCGGCCTCGCCCAGCGCCGCCAACGCCTGAGGAGCTGGAGAGGCCTGAGGAGCCGGCGTTGCCCTGTGGCCGCCGCCGGCCGACCCGGCCTCGCCCAGCGCCGCCAACGCCTGAGGAGCTGGAGAGGCCTGAGGAGCCGGCGTTGCCCTGTGACCGCCGCCGGCGGCTGTCGCCCGGCCGTGACGGGTTAGAGGGCCTTCTCTCAGCGGGGGTCGGGCGGGCTGTGCCAGCAGCACCTGCGGCCCGCCGCACGGGCTACAGGGACGAGGTGCGAGGTGCAGGGACGGGTGGGGGGACGGCGCGTTGCGCGCTGGCGCATACCCGGCGCCCGGCGGGGGCGCGTACTGTGGCAATATTCACGCGTGACGTGCTTGATCAGTTGTTGCCGGTGTTTTGTGTGCCGCGGCGTGGCCCATTTACGCGTGCACTGCACGTGCCGAATGCACGCCTCGCGCGTACGTGCATAATGAATGAGGATGTGTTAAGACTTGTAGAGGATGCGGAGGACCAGGAGGACGCGTACCGCGGCCGGCCGGCCGGTCCAGGCCGGCGCTCGTCGCGCCTGCTCAGAGTCGTGCCATCGGGGACGAGGCCCGCCGCGGGGCGGCGGCCGCCGCGGGTTTTCCCGGTGGCGCCCGGCGCGCCCCGCGCCGCCGTCCCCGCGGCGGCCGCGCCCTCGTGCGCATGTGTATGCGCGTGTGCGTGCGTGTGTGTGCTGCGCCCACTGCGGCGTCGGTCACGTGACAAGGGTGGTGTTCTCGTCGTCGCCGGGCGCCGCCCCGAGACAGCCCGCAGCTCCCACCGGTGCTCAGCACGCGCTGTTGGTTCACGTTTAGCGGTTTTGTATGGTGTACTGTCTTACCTCCGGCGCGAACTGGACGAGGCTCGTGACAGCAATGCGTGGCGAGGGCGAGGCCGCCGCCGCCTCGACGCGGCGTTCTCCACCGCTGGCGGCGCCGCTCGTGCGCCAGGGCACCCTAGCTATGTGATCATAATTTTTAGCCTAGTGTCCCATGTTGTAAAGTTGTACCTTAATGATAACACGATGAGCCAAGCGATCGGCGTTTTTCGGAGGATGGATGTAGGGCTGGCCTGGATACGCCGCGTGACCGGTAGTTGGCGGCGGCCGAGACCGGGTGAATGATTTAGCTACTTAGGTGTGCTCTGGACGTATGGTGGGATGAGATTTGAGAGGTGGTCTGGGTGGAAGGGACGCGTGAGAGCTGGAGAGGTTGGACGCGTTAGCGTGTCGGAGAGCCGTGCGTTGGATACAGAGATCTTGATTTGGATTTGCCCCGTCTAAAATGAATAAGCATTTGGTAAAATTGCAGCCCGTTAGGGTTTCGAGAAAGAACTGGGGCAAAAAGTGTACGGGATATATAGCGGATAGATGGGAAGGACGTGCTGGGGACACGGGTCAGCCGCTGCTGCAACTGGACGTTATCATGGGAGAGGGCGTGCGTTGCGACAGGGGTTAGGGCTGCCACCTTCCGGCCGGAGTCGAAGACCTGACTGCCAAAACTGTCAACAGATGGCAGTGCCGGCACCTCCGGGCTAAGCCGTGCAGCCTTCGCACGACAGCATGACAGCTTTGTTTACCAGCTGGAGGTCTCATTATCCCTGGCGAGGCGGGCGTAAGTGCCTTTTGAAGGCCCAGGTGCAACTTGGAGTGCGGCGGTGCGGAGTGCGCCTCCCGCTTCCTGCGTCGTAACGAACCGCGGCACGGACCGCCAAAAGCCGACATGAGCTCATCCATGCGCAAGGCCAGCAGTACTCGATCGGTCCAGTGTCCGCTCTCAAGGGTGTTGGCGCCAACCTCTACTGCGACGTCGTGGTTGAAATGGGCGAGGGATGCGCGCGGTGGACCGGGCACCTGAGCGGACTTCGATCGTGTCCGCTTACACGGCCTCGTCACTCCCCTCACGGTCTGGTGGAGCGGCGAGCATTAACTACCAGCTGGATCAAAAGTAAACCAGTAGTTCTTTCACAGCAGAGCTCGTTTCATTGATTTTTGATTGACTGGGTAAACACATGGATTTACGAGTGACAATACGCTGGACAGGGCTGGGTCGGGAAGCATCAGAAATATAAATCGGGATTAGATGTGAAAAATATTCAGCCCGAGTATACTGCAGGATATTGAAAGACTGAAGGTGAAGCTATGCTAGGAAGTTATAAAGCAGGATATAGCCCAGGTCTGCCGCGTTCGATATGTCAAATTGCGTCGGAGAGGGATGGATTGGCACAGTTTATTCTCTTAAACATTTTTGCTGCGGCGGATGGACAGGCTCGGGTTTTGGATTCGTGCAAAAGACAATGCTCGGCGGATGCGATTGAAGTTTGAGAGATTGCACTGACCTTGGTCCTGCAAGCTCGATATATTAATCTTTCTATGCCTCAGTACTTTTAGATATAACCAATGCTGCTTTGTGTTCGCAATTTTTTTCCCTGTGTATCGGTGCTATGGTCGGGTGAATAAAACAAAGGTCACTCTCCGTGTGACCTTTGCTTCGAAACTCCATGATAATCACGGCAGTTTCGACGCGTTTGCACCCCTGACTGTCTAGCTCAAGTCAGCATATCGTCACTACATCCCAAAGGCTATCTGAAAACATTACATTACCGGTCAAGTCAGCGGATGATCTGGAACTTACAGAGTGAGCACAAGTCAGGTACTGGCGCTGACCGCACCTTCAGGAACTGTGCTACTGGTACGTCGCATTTAATTCATGTTGCCAATTCAGATTCAAAGCTGGGCATGATGCGTCATAGACCATGAATGACGAGAGTCAAGAGACGTCCGCCGTTTCAGTGCAAAACGATCTCAATGCGAACAAACGACGTCAATTGCAGCCTTTGACCTGATGTAACCTGGACCTCAAGTGGCCGCCGTTGTTGCCCTGGGCTTCAATGACGCTCATGACATAACCACTCGACACCTTGCAAACCACCAGTGAAGAAACAGAATACACAACACATGGCATAGCGGAGAGCTGAAGCTGGCCGATTTACACATGAATGGAATAAGACCTCTGCAAAAACGAGGCCATTGGTGTGGAACCTGACGTCGGTGGCCAAATCTTCGCGCTAAATGTAGAGCATTCCGGATTGCATCATTCCCGAAACTGCATTCTCTTCAGCCCAACAGGCCGCCGGGCCTCTATTCAGCATGTCGATGGGAAGCTATAATGGAATTCGGTCGTCATGCCAACCTAATATCCCGCCTCCAAGCCGATGTGGGGCGCCGCGTGGCTACGCCGCCCCCACCGCAGCCGGCTGCAACCATCGCTTGGTCGGCGAAACCCGTGTCAAGCAGCCCATTTGCGCCGTTATCAAACTTGGAGTGTTGGAATTTGTCAGTTTGAAGTAGGTGTGTTATTGATTTTCGTTCCAGCGATACAGGCGTCTGCTGATCTTATGCAAATGGGCCTAGAGTTCGTTCTCGTTGATTGCGTTATAAATTGGGCAGCAGAGCAACAATCGGTCTTGCCATAGCAGACATCATGTTCGTTGTCTAGCAACTTTCCATACGATACACATGGGGATATGTATCTTACAAGGATGAAGCGTGATAAAGAGAAACAGTGACAACGAATTAGTGCACAAGGCTGAAGCGGCTCCACAGTTCGCCGCCGCTGCTCAGATGCCCGGCAACCGCCCGCTTTAAGCTGGGCAGTCTGCTGAAGACGGCCTGTGCAGCTCTGCATTGTGTTCTCCAATACTGTCTCCAGGCAACTTGACTCAAGTGAAAATGGCATTAGGCTTCTGATTCTAACACACTTCGAACGTTTGTGCTCCAATAGCTGACCTTTAGTGCACTGAGGGATGCTGGTGTGAAGACAATGTCATGCAATCGTCCTCCATTGTTTGCTTACCCCTTAAATCCGTTAGTTGATAGAATGGTGTCGTTTGCTGTGGTCTGTCGGTTTTTCAGACATATCGCTTAAAAGCTGCAAGAGGTAAGGGGGGGAGGCATTTTTCGAATCGTTCAAATCTGTGAACATCTAGACTTGACAAGGGCTGTGAAGCGAATGTCGAATGTAACACTTCACAGTAGCAATTCTCCCCCTTTTTGGGTATCATGACCGGCCGGCATGCATTAGCACGTATTGCTGATACCTGATTTCACACAGCTGCTTAGGATGCCGCCGCGAGTTGAATTTTAAGGTAGCATTAACTGCAAACGAACCCGTTCAGTTTGCCTCTTATCTCGCAGTGTCCAAACCTTCGTATTCGCTACATTAGGACATTTGACCAAATATTGGGATTGGGAGAATGTTGAAAAGTTGAAATCAGTATAGGCATATCATGAAATTTTCGAATACCCTCTGACAACGATTCAGATAAGACACAAAACCACTCAATATTGATGCTGAACATGATTGGCAGCTCCACTGTGGTGGACGGGAGGGACGTAACGCATAGTTTTGTTTCATTGACACCGAGTTCAAGACTCACTGCACCTCAGTGATGGGGCATCACTGATTTATGCTACTCGTATGGGGCCGCCGTTGAAAACGACCCTGTGCAAAACTGCTGTAGCATTAACGCGCGCCCGGATGGCCGGGCGAATACCCTCCGCTCGGGTGGGTGGCCAGTTTGCGTCTCCTGAAATATCTGAAAACAAGATATATAAAATTCGCTGTGTGTTGCCATTTGCTCACTTGTTTGAGCTCACTTGTTTTAAAATTCAAGTTTCCTAGGTCATGACCTTCGGGTCAAATAGGGTCAAAAGATGTCTAACTCCATATTGGTCGCCAAAGTGCCCCCAGCCTTTTCATGCAACCACCGTGAACCTTGATACCTGTCCTGAGCAAAAGGTCACCGGTGCTCATTTAAGCTCAGTGACCTTATCTGATCTTTCAAAGGTTTTGGTGACCTAAATCATCTAGGGCAGCTTTGAATTTTGCATTTGAGTGAGTGTCAAAGATAACGCTAGGCGGTATGTTTCAAAAACAAAATGTCGACCATGGTCATTTTAGGTCAGTGACCTTTTCTGACCTTGAAGGAGTTCATGGAAAATGTATAATACGGTTCCTGTTATCAATAAATTCAAGATCAGCACCAGAAACTATTACACATGACAGGCTCTAGAATGATAAAACGGGCTTGTTTTGACCTTGATCTGACCTTAAATCTGACCCTAGGTCAGTGTATTTTGTTCATTTCATTGTTGTGCTGCGTGGAAAACTATCTCAGAGGTGTATGGTTTCGTCTAACACGTAACTGCC